TTGAAATCGGCATTCTTTTTCGGAACATCGTTGATTTGGAGAATATCAGAGACAAAGATTGAAGAGCTGACACTGAAACCCTGAGTTCCATTTAAAGAGAGTCATAGAAATCGGAAGCAGCAGGGAAGAAAAGGGAAGAGCTCGTACCGAAAGCCTGCGTTCCTACTCTTGTTGTCACAGAATCAATGTATAGCAGGGGCGAAGATTCAAATCTTTCACAAAGAGTCTGTGTTTCATTTCAAAATATCATGGATTTGGAGAGCAGCAGAGGCAAAGATTGAAGAGCTGACACTGAAATCTTGAGTCCCATTTGAAGAGAGTCATAGAAATCGGAAGATCATTGAAACATTGATTCTGTGACAACAAGAGTAGGAACGCAGGCTTTCGGTACGAGCTCTTCTCTTTNCTTCCGATTTCTATGACTCTCTTCAAATGGAACTCAGGATTTCATTGTCAGCTCTTCAATCTTTGCCTCTAGCGCTCTCCAAATCAGTGATATTTCAAAAAAGAATGCCGATTTCAAATGCCAGCTCCTCCTTCCCTTTGTCGGTAGAAATTTGGGCCATCGATATCTTCCGTAACACCCAGTAGTTTTTGATGGCACAGTACAAGATAATTTAGCGGCATCCGGTTTTTGACGAACAATTAAGCTAGCAGTCCAAAATAGTGCAAAGGTACTGGAGTAACTTGACAAACGGCGTAGAGAGATAAAAGTCTTCAAAAAAGCAGTCAAGGTGGGGGTTGAACGAGATTAACAGAGAAAAATTGGTGTGTAGCCGAGTGGTCCGTGCTGGAGTTGCGTATAGCTATTTTCACCTCTACTACTATACTATATTTTATTTTTCTTTTTATTATTCAGCTGCATTTTGAAGCTCAAGCCATTCAAGAGTTCGAAAACACGAAAATCGTTGACATAAGTAATTTTATTATTTATAATATGCACTTATAAGTGTGTTTTTGGTATTCTAAGTCCATTTATTTTTTGTGTATTCTATATCGAGGCACTCTCAATCGCAAGGTCGGTGACGTGTTCTTGCAACTGTCAAGAACATTCCCTGACCTCACTGGTAAAGAGTGTTTTTTCTGTACGTTTGGTTTTGAATAATTTCAACGTCCTTTGCTACGAATAACCCTCAGGTGAGCTGCGTGCAAGAAATTCCAGTTATTTCGTTATCTGCATTGCATGCTCTTCACAGGGTCATTGAAATATTCTTGTACAATGTCAAGAGCACTGTCTGACTTTTTTCTTTGAAGAATCGTGTTCAATTGAAACATAACATTAGCATGCAACCCCCTCCCACTTTTGGGAATGCTACCATGGTGAGTTTCTATCGAGAAACTTTCATGAGCCCCTCTTTTCCTTCTGAACATTTTCGATGATACTGTCATGGATATTTTATTGTTCAATGTGAGCATCATGTTCTTTATCTGTTTTGCACTTAAATATGGCTTTAAACTTCAATTTAGTACGTCTACATCGAGAAAATACTAGTGTGGTGAGTCTTTGAATAATAACTTTATTAATTCTGTCTTTTTGGTAATCATTATAATAAACACGTTTATACAATCTTGCTCAATGTAAGGAACATTATGTTTGTTGGTTTTGAGCGATTTTATTTCTTTTTACATTGATGTTGTATGTGTAACTCGCTGTGTTTGGGAAACGTCGCTAACAACAAACAGGATCGTGTCAACACATACAATAAAGAATAGGTAAAGAATGAAGAGTTAATATATGTAGTATATATTCGAATGAAACTCACCGGACCACTATCCCAATGAGCACAGCGAGTTACACATACAATATTAATGCGAAGGGATAAAGTAGCTCGACACAACTAAAGAACGTTCAAAACATTAAGGATGATTGCATCAAGGTATTCGCTTTGATGAACGAGTAAAAGAGACGAAAAGAATAGGGTTAACACTCAAGTATGAATCACAGCACCATTATTTCCTCGATATGCACGTGATAAATTCAATTGTAAAGCCATATAATTGTGAAAAGAGATAAATAAAAAGATACTATCATTGAACAACGAAATGTCTACGAATACCTAGCTGAACAATAAGAAAAACTGAACGATTTCGGAAGAAAAAGAGTAACATATGAAAATTTTCATTTGCGAGGGAGTGCATGCCTCCAACTTCACAGAGATCTTCGAATCAAGGCCAGATAGAATGCTTGACATTGAACAAGATCACACCGATTACCCAGTATGAAGAACGTGCAAAATGGACAAGGTATTAATAATGAACTATTAATTATACATTAGCATGCATGGAGTTTCGGGGAGTAAAAAAGAATTGCATACAATAATTAATTCAAAACAACTCAGTAATCCCTAATACGATCTCGGAGTATTCTTCACATTCAAAACTTTCAAACATTGTGTGAATAAAAAATAAGAGCTAATCATAACAAGTGGACCAAAATGTCGTGCAAAAAACTACTACATGAATGCAATTACATAACAATTTTACCCGATACACGAACCAATCGCTGCGAAAGGTCATTTTCAGCCAAATAGCAGTAAATAGTTAATAGCTAATAGCAGCACTAGAATAGGAATAGGGGTATATTAATAGGGGCAGGGCGATCAGCTATTGATTTTTCAACAAAGTTGCTCCAGTGCGAACAGCGGGGCCCGACAATTAGTTTTCATGGTTGGCCGGACGGGTGGTGTGCAATTCACAAGATACACTTTTCTACCCCCTATTGTAACTAATCAAGCCTTTTTTGGCCTGACATCGCCAGATATGGTATTTGGGCGTCTCGAGCCTTTTCCTCGTGAACTGCGCCTTTAAGCAAATATGTATGTTTATGTTGAAGACACCCTCCATACCTTAGACCTGCTTTTGTTGATAACCTTTCTGAGAAGGTGTGAGGTTTTTACGCATCATGTCTACAACTCAAGCCTTGCAAATGGCAGCATAAACCATAAAAAAGGGAGGGAGGGGGTGGGGGAGAGGGTTTTGCATACCTCTTGGAAAATGTAGCCCTCCATACACATTAGTACATTATGTGACAACGTTTGCGTTCTGTTTCTCCGTTTTTTTTTTGTCAAAATGACGGTTTTTTTGGTAAAAAATCATGAAAGTGTTGTGTATAGGAATGAACTGATATGAATTCTTATCGTAAACACCTATTCTATATAAGCCTAACTCGAGTAGGGTTAGACACTTCTTCATCTTCTTTTTGCTTGTATCGTCACGACAGCAATGAACCGGTCGTCTTCCTTGAGTGAAGGACACAAAAACTGGCGATCAAGGAGCCGAAGAATGGATCAACTACAGCTGATGACACTCTTCAAGGACCTGCTCGAAGAACAGCGAAGGCCAGAACACAGAACTGGTTCAGATGCTCTTGCACCGTGTGGAAGATGGAGCTGGTGACCGAACCAGGACTGAAAAAGTTCAAACGCCGAACGTAATGGCCGCATTGAGTAACCGGATCGAAAAGTTTGTGTTCAATGCCGACTTGGAGATGGGATTCTCCAGATGGTACTCAAGGTACAAAGAAGTGTTCACAGAAGGTGAGCGACAACTTTCTGAAGCGGCAAGAGTGAGAGTTCTCTGTGAAAAACTTGATAATGTTACTTTTGAGAAGTACCAGCGACACGTGTTACCAAGGAACGTGTCAGACATCGGCTTTCAAGAAACTGCTGACTATCTGAGCCACTTGTTCGACTTCAAATTATCCGAGTCCCCAACCAAATACCAATGTTTGAAGCTTGAGAAGAACGACAACGAAGACTACCTTGCCTGTACAGGTAGAGTGAACGAATTTTGTGAGAAAGCAAAACTTCATGACTTAGATTCGGAGGGTATCAAGTACTTGCTCTGGATATTCGGTCTGGAGTCTCAGTCAGAAGCAGAAATTCGGCAACGGCTCATCGCAATATTCGACAGCGAGTATAAAGCAGGTCGGGAAATTTCTTTACATGAGTTGTACAAGGGATGCGAAAATTTTCTGAATCTCAAAAGAGATTGTGAGACTATCGCCGGAGATGTCAAGGCCGTCCAAGCAACTGTGAAAGAATATCAAGAGCTCATTGTCTATTGGAACTGTGAAGAAAAGCACTACGCAAGAGAATGTAAAAAAGAAGTTGTGGTCTACAAAAAGTGCAAGACAAGTGGCTACACATGTTCGGTGTCTAAAGATTTCAAATAAGTCGTGAAAAGGTTAGCACTGCAAGGATGTGCTTCGAGGCAGTTGTGAACAAACATTCAGTTGATTTCCTGCTGGATACGGAATCAGACATAAAGTTACTAAATGAAGATGTTTGGAAGAAAATGGGATCTCCGAAGCTGGAAAAGACAAACATCTCTGTGAAAAATGCCGGTGATCGCATGAAAATCCGAGGAAAGCTAAAGTGTGCAATTGAAATGAAAGGCAGAAAAAGTGTAGAACACGCTTACGTGACGCCATATCACTCGTTAATGGGACTCGAGTGGATATAAAGCAACGAAGAGATGCAGCATCACTTGGAAGTGATGGTTGCAGAGATCGAAACAAAACGAAACTCCTACGTGGAAAAAGAGCTAAAGGAAAAGTATCCTGACGTATTCAGCGAAGGTCTTGGACTCTGTACGGAAGAGAAAGCAGACATTATACTCCTACCCAATACCCGCCCCCTGTTCCGTTGTAGTCGTCCCGTTGCCTACGCTGCCCTAGAATCCGTCCAAAACAATTTCAACAGACTTCAAGGAATGGGTGTTATCACTCCGGTGAGCCATAGCGAATGGGTTGCCCCAATCGTAAGTGTCAAGAAACCAAATGGAAAAATCAGAGTATGCCCTGACTTTTCGATTGCGCCCTACGGTCCTTCGGTTATCCCCTCCCCACCCCCGAAGACATTTTTGCATCCCTGAATCGAGGAACCATTTTTTCCGAATAGACCTCTCTGATGCTACCTCCAGATAGAGCTATCAGAAGAATATAAGGAGGCAAGCAGCTACGCGCATTCTTAGGAATGGTGGCATATTACTCAGCGTTTATGCCGTCCATGATAAGTTTACGTGGACCGTTAGACGCATTACTGGAAAAGGACGTAAAGTGGAAGTGGACGTCTATGCAACAAGATGCATTTGAGAACTTGAAATCAGCACTGTCCAGCGATCTAAACATTGCTCACTACGACCCCAAGAAGAAGATCGTTATAACCGCAGATGCATGGGAGTACGGAATTGTATGCGTGATCTCGCACAGATATGCTAATGGTACTGAAAAACCGACAGCCAACGCTTCTCGTTCGCTTTCTGATGCGGAAAGGAACTATTCATAAATTTAGAAAGAAGCACTTGGATTGTTCTTACTGCTAACAGACCACAAATACAATGGAATTCCTTTCTTGTCACTGAATATCGCTGCTGGCGATATTCAGTGACAAGAAAGGAATTCATCATCATCATAAGGCTGAAGAAAATAGCCCGAAGCTATGTGTACTGGCCTAATATCGACAAGGATTGCGAAACCGTCGTACGCAGCTGCTCCAGGGAAAACGCGAAAAACCCTATCCAAGCGACGCTGGAACTTTGGCCAAGAGTTACGTATGCATGGCAAAGAATTCATGTGGAATTCGCCGGACAAATGGATAGACGCTATTACCTTGTCGTGGTCGACGCGTTCAGCAAGTGGCCGGAAGTGAGGGAAATGACCACCATCTCTGTGACTCGAACAGTAAATGAACTCAAGAAACTGTTTGCGAGATACGGTTTGCCGCAATCAATCGTGAGCGATAATGGAGGTCAATTTCAATCAGAGCTCATCAAGAAGATGTGTGATGAGGGAGGAATTGTACACGTAACAACAGCCCCTTTCCATCATCTATCAAATGGACAATCAGAAAGCTTCGTCGATGCGCTGAAACGAGGTATCAACAAACTCAGAGGGGAGGGAAGACCGTCCGAAGATATGGTGAATACTATTATTCAAGCCTATAGGACCACACCAAACAGCTGTTTAAAAGAGAAGACTCCGGCAGAACTGTTTCTCGGAAGAAAAATTCGTACTCGACTAAGCATGCTGATGCCAATGCCGGTAAGCACAGATGATCACTTCGCAGAACAAGGGCGAGAGTACATGAAACAGCAGTTTGACAGAAGACATTATGCGATTAAAAGGAACTTTTCCATTGGAGAAGCCGTTTATGCTCGACAATGGAAATCATCAAAATTCGTCTGGGAAAAGGGCACAATCAAGAGGTGCCTCGGATCAGTAAATTACGAAGTGGATGTGAATGGAAAACTGGTTAAGAAACACGTGAATCAGCTCAAACGTCGTCATCTAGACAAACCGACAAGTAGCGGAAGTTCGATGTTGAAAACGCTACTGGATATATATGGTCTTCGCGACGATCAGCAGATACCTACAGAGAATTCACTACCGTTAAGAAGACCAACACGAACGAGAAGATCTTTTGAGAGATATGGGATATCCTATCCTAAATTGTAACCTAGTAGAAGCAAAGTATTTTTTTACTGGGGGAGGTGTTGTGTATAGGAATGAATTGATATGAACTCTTATCGTAAACACCTACTCTATGTATATAAGCGTAACTCGAGTAGGGTTAGACACTTCTTCATCTTCTTCTTCTTTTTGATTGTATTGTCACAACTACAATAAACCGGTCGTCTTTCTGGAGTGTAAGGACACAACAGAAAAAAAGGCAAGAAAGTACGTAACTTTCGTAAGTGTTATGGAGAGCACCGAGAACGACCGCGAAATACTGGTTGGCGGTAAAACCAAGTTCACGAAATTATGTATTTGTCGATTACAGGACACAATGGCAAAACGGAACACTGTTATTGGTACGCCGTTTTGGATGGCCCCTGAAGTGATTGAAGAGATTGGTTATGACACGAAAGCTGACATTTGGTCACTGGGTATTACTGCAATTGAGATGGCTGAAGGTCGGCCACCGTATGCGGATATTCATCCCATGAGGGTATCTAGCTTTCTCTTCGCTACTAAAATGTAGTACTTTTAGATCGCTGAGGCTTGTAATTCGTAGACTATCAAATTGTAGGCGATTTTCATGATTCCAACTAAACCTCCTCCGACGTTTAAAAAGCCGGATGAGTGGAGCGATGAATTCAACGACTTCATCAGGCAGTGCTTAGTGAAGAAACCTGATGATCGGAAAACTGCTTCGCAACTAGTCGAGGTATTTGTTGTTCATAATAACTTCCGTAGCACTAACGTCTCTTTACCGTCGTCCTTTGACAGAATTTTGAATACTGACCAGGGAACGATACTTGGTCGCCGTGGCCATTCGAGATTAAATGTATACCGGCTTAGAATGCTGTGTCTCAAATCTGTGTTCAAAATCTGTTAGAAGATTCTGGGAAGAAAGTTACGGGACCAATGCCGTGTTATACCATTGTACCGAACGGATCACCGAGCAGAGCAAGGCCGTAACTGTGCAACGGTTATGCAGCCGGTAGGATGGTGGACTGGTAGGCGTGACGTCATGGTTCGGTACCTTGATGCTTGCACTAGTTTTGCTTTTTCATGAAACACGTCCTAAACGCTCGCAAAGGCTCTATGTTGGGGATCCATAGAACTCCTTCACAATTCTGAGGCACTGAAAGGGAATTGGATTGATGCATATATTTTTGCTCGGTGTTTGGCCCTTCCGTATTTCTTTTTCATGGATATTGGTATTTCGTCATCACGTGTGCGTGACGTGTGCGTGATACGTTTCCACCACACTAGCTATCGCTCGTACACCCTGATTTGAAGGTCACAATGCCGCACAATTTTCGCAAGTTCAACACTGACGATGAGGTCAGAAAGGCACTCGACGATTTCTTCAAGTCGCAGCCTCTGTCCTTCTGGAAGGATGAAATCGACAAACTGTCTGAGCGTTTTCGTCGGATGCAGTGCAGTGGATGGTTATCGTGCATACCTCTAATCTTTAGGCTTATTCGCTATTGAGATATTTACAAAAAAAGGAGAACAAACTTATGCATCAACTTACCATTACAAGGAAAGTTTTTTTTGCCTTTCACCGGCTGAATAAGGGTGGAGCCCATTCGAGCAGCAGGAGAATTCTAAACATTCGCGTAAAATGGGCTTCAGAGGCTTCAAGGAGAAAAGTTCAGATTGATTCATCTGATCAAACACTCTTCAACATGTTAACAGCGAAATGTTCTAGCCGAAGGTGGTGCCATGGTATTTGAGGGAAGTAATAAAAAGCTTTCCAGCCACACATTGCAATGCTGTGAGAACAAGCTCGTTACCTACTGTGGGGAAGACGAGTCTGTGAAAGACGATCACAATGATCCTCTGGACGCCTGAAGATTAAAGCGTTCAGGTTCCAAAATGAAAGCTACAGTGCGTTTCATAATTATAAGGTCTCCCTCAAATTTTGCACTTTCAAGGAAAGCAATCATTAAGGATTTTTCTAGCATCATGAACGGATTCCCCAGCACGAATAACCTAGGTATCCGTTTTCTAGCCGCAGCTGCATTTTTCTGAACTTTTTTAGAACAGTTTATCGGTTTTTGCACCGTTTCATAATTATAAGGTCACCCCGAGAAAGTGAACAATTATTAACGAAAGAGAGGAAATTTCGTGTTTGAAGATACTTGTAAAGGTAAGCATGTGTAGCAAAGGCATTTCTAAACCTTCCTGTCAACATGGCTTGTGGTCATCTGCTTTCCTCTGATGAGAAGGCTCATCGTGAAGGTGGGCTCCGTACTCGAGCCATTTCCAGGCAAATAGAGAGATTCCCTTGGTCCATCCGGAGATTTCTAGGGAGTCCTCATGTCGTTAGATATAACACCGACTGTGGACACCCATGAAAGATTACTACCCGTGAAGAGCGGAAAATTCTGAGGACTGTTTCCAACAGTACGTCCTCCTTGAACCAGATCCGATCGGAATTGAACCTCTCTGTGTTGAAAACTACAGTCTGGAGAGCAGTGAGAAGATGCGAGAACATCACCAGGCAAGCAATGGAGGAGGTGCCACGAATCACCGGTCGCCACAGAGAGGCTCGACTCGGATTTGCAAAGATGGACCTATGGAGCGATTGGGCAAAGGTAGCATCTGCATCAAAATTTCACCATAGAGCTGAATAATTCCTATTCAGGTCTTCTTTTCGGATGAAAAGAAATTCAATCTAGACGGTCCTGACGGAAACAAGCGGTACTGACGCGACTTGAGAAAGGAACCAGTCTACTTCAGCCGTCACAGTTTCGGTGGAGGAAGTGTATGGTGTGGGGTGCATTCTGCAATGATGTCGTGCTGGATCTACCTGTCGTGAGCTGCAGTGTGTATTGCAAGGATTACCAGAACGTCTTGGAGCATCATCTAGTACCCTTTTTTGCCATCGCCGTCACCTCAACTAAGTCTTTCAACAAGACAACGCCTCCATTCATGTGAGCCGTACAACGGATGAGTGGCTGCAATGCCAATAAATAAGCATCCTGCCATGGCCAGCCTGCAGTCCAGATCTCAATCCGATGGAACATATCTGGGGCATAATAGTTAGACAGGTTTATGCGAATAACCGTCAGTTCCAGGGCACAGAAGAGCTGAAGCGGGCAGTTATCGAAGCATGGAGAGCAATCGATGAGGAACGTCTTCAAAACCTAGTTTCTAATATGCCACGCAGGCTCTTTGATATTGCTCTTAAACAAGGAGGAGCTATAGATTATTAAATGTTGTACATATGCCATTAACATTGATAAATCATTTACTTTCTCAGGGTGACCTTATAATTATGAAACGGTGGAAAAGCCGACACTATCTTTAAAAAATTCGTAAAAAATTTGAGGTGAAGGATATTGCGACCAAAATTTGAGTGCGGAGTGGAGGTACATTGTGACGAGGAATCTACCAGTGTTTGCCAAAAATTTCCATTCCGGCTGCTTTCTCGAGAATCGCAAAAATCTGGGGTGACCTTATAATTATGAAACGCACTGTAGTAGAAGAGTCCATAATATTCTATAGCTCGAGTGTTAAAAAGAGCCGCACTTCCTCGTACATGAAAAATGCGTTTCGTGTCATCAAGACAGAGTGCGGCCTACTCTAAGGGAAATGCTAGAATCATTATCTTCGAATTAGTCTATTAGCGACAACTTACGCTGTCTTATTTGGTTGTAACCATCAGGCGCAAAAAAAGCGGACCGATCTATATACCTGTGGAGTAAGTTATGCCCGGATAAGTTGGAATGACAAGTATTAGGATAAGAATAAGTAAGGTAATAAAAATAATAGAGAGTTAATAGCACGACAGTCATTTCCACTGGATTTCGCTTCAAATCAACAATGAAGGTCCATAGGGGGCAAATTCAAAGCAAGTCATAGGTGAAATCATGGTTTGAGTACAGCTGTGGTAACATGCCCCACCGCATCACCACGTTTATCTCATGAAAGAGCTTCTGAGCTTCTTTTAAGGGCGTTTACCTCAGGAACCGGTGGATAATCATATCAAATGTATAATGTGCCCATGAATCGTTAAACTATTTTTCCACAGTATTTTTTCAACAGTGCCATTTACTTGTACCACCGCTTTGAAAGTGCGGACTGTATTCTTGGAATGCCGCATCCCTCCCAAGAGGGCTCTGGTCACGTGAGCCATTCGAGCGCCTTCTACCGTAAGTGCAGGGGCTGCCGAGAATTTCGAAACACCATCTTGACTTCTCATGGTATCTATTCGGTCAGTATGGTGAAAATTTTTTTATTGGATTGCTATTTCCCTATATCCTGAATTGTGAGTGAGCCCAAAAAACGTTTTGCAAGCGTTTAGGACGCATTTTATGGATAAGCAAAACGAGCGCATGCATAAAGAAGGCGAACCTTGGTTTCGTGCCTACTAATTCACCATCCTGCCAGCTGCGCATTCGTTGCAAAGGAGCGGTTTTGCTCGGCTCGGTGATCCATTCGGTACAGTGGTACAATACAGGGAGGCAATGGTCCCGTAGCTTTGTTCACAGAATCGTTTAGAAGATTTGGAACCCAAATTTCAGATCAACGTTCGAAACTACTACGGAGCAATGCATGTATCGTGAATGCCACTGCGACCAAGTATCTTTCCCTTAAGAGCAAAGGTCATTCGAATGAGAAGGCCAACAATTAATCGGTCCTTTTGGGTTGCAATTTGATTTTCACAGTGATAAAATCACTTGGTACGATTTAATATAGGCGTTGCTAATATCCTCAAACAGGGCTATTCATATATACATTAGGTTGTCTCGAAATTCGTACTGTGAGACGGCTGCTGAGGAACAGAAATAGGCAAAAGGGGCTAGAGCGGGGCTCCTTGGAGAGTGCGGTAGAATTTCACAGCCGGGTCCAGGATTTGAGCTGTGTCGTCTCCGAGACATATGGTCTAGCGTTGTTGTGGAACAGACATAGTTTGTCGAGTTTTGAAAAGGTTAGCTGGATTTTTCCTCTTGAGTTTCAGTTGACTGCGGTAGGCCTGTTCATAACCATAACGTTGGGAGGAAAGAGCACCCTGTGATTTACTTTGCGGACACCCTACCTGACACAACATGATCTGTTAGCCGGACAGACCTGATCTCACAGCTGGTTCAGCTCTTCTGATAGGTACACCCACCTGCTAGTTACATAAGTGACCACTTCTAATATCTACCGATAAAGATGCCCAAACAGTTCGTTCAGCGGGCGCGGGAGAGAAATTGGAGACAGTACTCCATTTCTTAGAAAGAGTCTCAACTCATGAGGAATCTATTTGTCAAACTTCAAAATTTTCCCGTAAAAGCGGAGACTTCTATCCTGTTCACCCATATTTAGGGCAGCTGAGTGTGATTGCAGTAGAGCGAGCCGTGTTGTTTGTTTCCGCTTCGTTAAGAGTGCGTATCCGACCTAATTCAATGTGCACGAACTTCTGAGACAACCTATACGTACCATTTTTAGTACTACATCGCTCGCTAAGGATTGCGTACGATGCTTTTGCTATTGAAAGGGGCTTGCTTATTTTCATCCGATCGTAGGTATGATTTGAAAGCATTCAGAGGCATTTACAAACTTGGCAGCTCCATTTCTCCGAGCTGGTCAACCCATGAGAAATCCATTTGTCAAACTTCAAACTTTTCCTATTTTCATATAATCCTAGGTACGATTCATAAGCATTTAGGCTTTTACAAACTTCGTGCAAGTGGGCAACAATTTTGCTGGGGCTATTCGATTTCGTTTGTTTTGCTTCATATATTAGTTATGAATTTGTTTATTTTAGCATAGGTTCATAGCGAACGCACCTGGCGCAGAAATTCTGCAGGCAATCATCAAGGATGCTAGTGAGATCCTTTTCAATGGCAAGGTCTGTACATTATTCGTTTATGTGGGTTCTTCATGAATTGAATGATTCTCTTCGATACAGTGATGGCTACACCGTGTTCGGGTTTGACAATGTAGTCCTTACGAAATCTGTAGCTGACTAATCCTTTGATCTCATAGCAGTTTATTTTTTTGGATTCCATTGTGGAGAAATTTATATACGCTCTTTAATACTGCTATGAAAACTAATGGTAAGCTTAAGCTGTATTGAAAACTCTTAATCTACACTAAAAGGAGCCAGTACATTACACACAGCGGTCTATTTATAAGGGAGACCGTATTACACCATTCAGTCGGGCTAAAGCTGACAACCAACCTTTTGTTGAGATAAAAAAGGGGGCGCATAAAAGCTGTTGGTTGCTACAGCATATACCGGGCGCGAACAAGTAAATGCTTTACTATGGTACACGCACTTCGGACATTAGAACCTCCCCAAGAATGAGTAACACGACACACAAAGCACTCAGAGTGCTCGTCTATGTTCTTTTTTGTTGCTCATTTGAGGACACAACAGTTCGATTTACACTGGAGGGAGAAACGCCTTAAACGATTGCTTCAAGCGTTTTCCTTTGAAGAGAATGCCTAGGCGCGGTGGAGCACTATGGCTCCAATGTTGGGGCGCTCCCTGGGGGAATGTAAAATTTGTGGGAAACCACTCGTCGAAGTGCGAGGAGTATTTCGTAGTACACGTATTTCTTCGAGTAAGCGTCTGATTTCAGCAGTTGTATTCGAGCACATTTTCCACATGTAGCTAGGCAAGCAAAGTTTCGCAGTTTATATATCTTTATGCCAATGCAATGCTAGCACCTCTGCCGGGAACATCTTTCCTCGTGAATTTTTCACGTGGCTAGCGAGCGCTTGATATTTGAAGGTGTCCAGAATGCCGACTTTATCGGGGTCCGATTACCCAACAGCTTTTTATGTCTTTAAAATCATGATCACGTTAAAATCCATCAAACAGAAGAAATTGATCCGCGTTATACTCATTTTGC